GACTTCTTCCTTTTTTAATATTAAAACACCTAATTATGATTTGATATAACATTAGGTGAGTATATAATATTCAACTATTGTCAACTAATTTTGATGGAAAAGAATAGAAGGAGAAGAGGTACAATTTGTATTATACAATGTTGTTCACATTTTTAAGGAGGGGGCTGAAAGAGTACTTCATGACATTTGATGATGAAATCCTTATTGTTTGTTTATTTTTAATATACTAAAAGACAAAACAAAATACTTAAATAAACCAAAACTAAAAAAGAAGTATTAAAGCAAAAAATGGATAAAAACAACAAGAGTTGGGCCATATCAGGCCAATAAAGTGAGTTCTCTTGAAGCCTAGTATGTGGGCCCAACAATACTTATGGAGTAGGGCCCACTCAACTTCAAGCCCAAATTTAACTTTTCTCAAAGCCCCATTTTGTTTATTTTATTTTATTTTATATGTCTTTCTTTGTAGTATGAGTTTTTAATGTTCTTTTATTATTTTGAGATTGAGTTGATGTTCAATCTACTTTTAAATAAGTAGACCGCGTTGTTTTTCTATATGCAAGTCTATTCATTGATTAAGGAAGTCCTATAAAATTCATCTTAATTAATCTTATCGTAATTTTTATTTTTATTTTTGATCTGTTGATTCTTGACTTTTAAATGATGGAATTGTCCCAATAATAACTACTAGAAAGTACTACTATCTTTTTTTTGTTGGAGAAAGACTTTATACACAACGTCAACTAACTTGTGAGAAAATAAGGAAAACTAATTTAGAAAAGAGGAAAGAATCTTTTCATTGGTCTCAAAAAAGTCATTTTGTCCGAAGGAATATAAATTTAGGTAAACCTATAAATAACAGTTTGGTCAAACTTATTTATTGTCTAAACTTATTTTCGATCTACTTTATTAAAAAAAAATTAGATCATATTCACTTCTTCTACCTTTTTTCCGCTCCATCCCAAGAGGATCGAATCAATATCAATAGTATTCTACTTACTTTACTGATCGATAATGAAAGTGATCAACCACTTAAGCAACCCTCAGTACTTATCGGAGAAGAGACCTCTAGAGTATATATGCACCCTTTGAAGAAACCAATTGTAGCAAAGAGGGAGACAACTACTATAAATAGGGGTAGTTACATTTCATTATCAATTGTTTGGAGTTCGTGACCACCAAACATACATCTCCATCCAACAAATCACCTAAGATTCTTCAATTGATTCTAAATGGGGAAATTTTCAAAAAATGTACGGACCAAAATATAATAATATTATATAAATTATCCTTGGAGAAAAATAGTATACATAATGTATCAACTTAGGATAAAATTGTATAATTGTGAACGAAAAATATTTATACACACAAATATGGACTAAATCGGATAACAAACTCAAAATATAGACTACATGGCATAAATATCTTAAACTCCATAAATTATCACTGCATAAATTTTTTAAATATAAATACAATGTTAACGTCAAAGCTATTGAATTATGTTGAATCTGTAACTTTAAGGCTGGCTACACTCATGGATAAGATTCTTTTATTCTTAACCATAAATTTTGGTTCAAGCTTTAAGTATGAGAAAAAAAATCATTATAATGTGAGTTTGAGACATGGAAGGAAAACAAAAAAGTGATATCCTTAGTGATTGATGTATTAGATTATGTGCACCAAACATGAAACATAATAAATAAAAGAGGAGAAACAATAAGATAGAATGAAGAGTTATCCATAGACTATACAAGATACAACGTGTCCCAACATGGAATTATAACATGGACAAAACATAAAAGATAGATTGAGGTATGGCCCCTAAAAGGAAATCTTTTAGAAAATTTGAAAAGAATTTTTTTTAGAAAGCGAATCTAGCGTTCATAACAATATGAATCACTCATTGTTATTTTTTATAACAATAGTGTTCGAAATAATTTATATGTATTTTGATTAATTTTATGAAATAAATGTTACTTTTGATCACCATAAATATTGATTAACTATGTCCTTTAAAAAAAATCAACATTTATTCTATAGCCATGCTGGCGGGAAGTTTTTGAAGTTAGGGCAAATAGTCTTTTATTCCGTAATAAGATAAGTATTTAAAACACTCCTAAACTTGACGTGAATTATTACTTTAGTCCCTCAACTATTGACAGCCTTAAAAACACCACTCTATTTGATTAAGTGAATTTAAAAATACCTCTCTTATACCACATATGCATATATGTGGAATTTTCTGCTGACATGACATACACATAAATATATGTGATAGAAAAAATATTTAAAAAACATTTAAATAATTAAATGCTAAAAATTAAGCAATTTAAGAAGATAAAAAGAACCTTTTTTTTCTTTTTAAAAAATTATTTTTTCTCATCACCTCACCCCATTTTCGACCTAATACCCCAACCTCACACCTCACTACCCATCCACTCCCAAAAAAAACTCTTTTAAACTTTTTTTTTGGCGGATAGTGGGGAGGTAGGGGGCGGGATAAGAAAAACATATATTTCATTTTAAAAGTTTTTTTTGGAGGAGGGGTGGGGGACTCGGTGGTGTTGGATAAAAAGTTTTTTTAACAAAACTTTCAAAAAAAATTGGGGGTGAGGGGGTGAGTTGGGGGGTTGGGTACCCGGGTAGAGGATGGGGTGAGGTAAGGAAAGAAATTCTTCTTTACTAAATTTTAGCATTTAATTATTTGTATGTTTTTTTTCTTTTTAAAAAAAAAGAAACTATATATATATATATACGACATGTGGCATAAGAGGGATGTTTTTAAGTTATTTAACCAAGTAGAGGGGTGTATTCAAGGCTGTCAATAGTTTGTGGACCAAAGTAATAATTCACGTCAAGTTTAAGGGTGCTTTCAATACTTGTCTCTTCAGTAATTTACTTAGTTGATCCAATATATGATCAAAGTTTTGATGACTTACATGTAAAGAAGTTTTCTGGAAACAATTTAATCAATGCCTAATAATAACAAGTAGTTTATAAATGTCTGGTATTATTTGATTACGAGATAATTTTGTATTATTTTTGTGTTCTAGCAATTTGGTCCCTTTTCTTCCAAAGTAGATTCTTCCATGAGTTTATAAAAGTGCTTTTTTTATAAAAGAAAATGTACGTTTTCAATTTCTTTTGACATTATAGCACTACTATGGTCCTTGAGCTGAAGTTTATCTGAAACAATATCTATATCTCAGCAAGGTATGGATAGGGTACGCGTATACTCTACCCTTTCTAAACCCTACTTGTGAAATTATATTGAGTTTGTTTATTAATGTTGTATAACTTGAAGTTGATTGGTGTTTATCTGCATTTTGAAGGCGATAACAAGCTTTTCATATTTTGTGATGATATTGTGGAGGCTAACCATCTAAGCTAGCTAGGACTATCGTGTATATTATTTGAAACTAATGACATATAATTGGAGTGTATATTAAACGTATTGAGATGTAATATTTTTTTATGTTCTAAGGTGCCAAACAACCTGATACAATACATTAGTTTGTACTACAAACATATTGTACAAAATCTTTTATGCTTCTTATTTTGATAATGAATTGAGAGGATTGTTCGCTATTGACACACACAAAATATACTATGTAAATAGTTTGAATTCGGTTACAGGTATACACCTCAAAATAATTTTCCATATAAAGAGAAAATTTCAGAAAGAGCGAACACAATAGACATATTAAGACTTTGTAGCTATAGATTCAATAATTGCACTCCATAGCTATAGTTTTGTTTGCTATGAAGGTTGTGGTATGATGAGTAGTTAACGGAGCTTGTAGCACTACAAGCAGTTGAAATTGTTGATAACAAAGTTAAGTTAAAGCAGCTCAGGCTTGCAAGAAAGTGAAAAGGAAATCTCAAAAAGGATTGGAAATGGATCATTCACCTTCTGTAAGGATATGCAGTTGCAGAAATGGGAGGAGATAGATACCTACAACAATCTCAGAAAAGGTGAGTATTATTCATGTGATTGAAGAAACAGACAAATTAGCAATCTTCATTTTTACAAAACAAAAGGAAGGGCGGATGCATGCATTATTACATGCCTGAGCTAGGTACGTTTCAATATATAGATTACTTAAGAAAATAAATCAAGAAGCAACTACTTATACAATTTCATCAAAGCCACACCCTTCATTGATATTTGGGAACAAAACTACAAACCCTATATACGATGAAATATGGGCAATTCTTATGGGTATTTGTTAATAATATCGAATAAAGATTTGCATGCTAACAAATCAAGAAAAATACATGTACGGGGGATATTGAAAGGTGTTTGCTGAATATGAAAGTAAGGCTTTTTAGAGAAGAGTGTGTGTCTGAATTTGAAATATTGGAAGACAACAGACCGTAGATCTGGAACTGGAAGAGAATCTTGTATAGACTTGTTAACATCTTCAATTTAATCTTATGATTGAGTTTAGTTGTCCGAACTAGACAAGTATGTACGACCATAAAAAGCCACAGAAGCAACAGCCAAGTTTAAAGTAGAAAATTCCAGTCCTTATTAAGTGAATTTCAACGCATATAATTCAAGTAGCATTGCAATAGTCTTGAGTGATTGCAAAATTTTACCAAATCAAGAATATGGGATTGAAAACAATGTGTATTTCCTATCATATCACTCAAAAACCAATTAGAATAATAATGATATTTAGAAAATACTTGGTCGGGAAAGGCTTCTCTGGACTACCCCCTAAACCTTCATATTTCGCTTCATAGCATCCAGTACCTCTCTCTGAAATTTTGCTGAATTATTTGTCTTCACGTTTGAGTATTAGCTTGATCTTGACTGGTTAAAAGTAACGGCACAAGTAAAGATGATAAGTTGTACTTAATCCTGCAGCAACCAAGAAAAGGAATGGTTAACCATATGTTAGTATCTCCAGGAATTAAAATGCAAAAGTGGATGATAGTTTTTACTAATATCAAAATAAATGACAAGGTAATAAGCTTTTCAACATGAATCTTACCGGTAGGTAGGCTGCCACAAACTTCTCTGGTTGACATCAGGTGAAACTATTTTAAATGGAGAACCCCTATTAAAACAATTCCAAACACATTAGCATCTTTCAATAACTTGCTAACTAAAATAATATTCAAAAGGAATTGGATGAGTGATCGGTCTAGTGATGTATGCTTAAGTAAAGCCTGTATATGACCACCTCAAAATAAGCTTACAGCACAAGCATATGGAAGACAGACACCGGGAGGAGGATGCAAAAAGCCCAAATAGTCACAAGAGCCAACGATTTTAGTTCACGACTAGTTCTTAGCTTGATTGAACTCAGCATCGTTAGAGATTAGAGGAGATAGCCCTTTCTATTGCTTGAGTGGAATCAATTGACAAAAAGCTCGAACGTAATTGACTTCTTTCTTAACTTAAATAAAGGAAGAGATGATTTGGAGAATAATTCATTCCTCTCCAAGCAGTGAAGTGCCATATCCTAGAGAGAGGGTTTTACCGGTCGTTAAGATAAGAGTTGGTGTCGGTAGCTGTTTTTGTGATGAGTTTTTCTATTTTATTTTAAGTCAGAATGGGTTGGGATGTACAACTCAAACAGAAGTATAGATGGAAAAGATTGCAAACATACCTGAGGAGGATCAAATTTAGCTCCAAGGTTGCTCAGGCTAGCATGTGCTTCTGCATAATCTTTGAAAAATGCGTCCTGATCTACAGCATACTTCTCTGCATATTCCTGCAAGCACTTAAAATTGTAAATAGAAACAAATTCAGATTGTAATGATAGATTCATGAAGCTGGTGTATACTATTCCACCTTAAATGACGGATCTTCAAAAAGAACAGCATCGGTTGGCAAAACTAGCAGATCGTTGTCTCGTCTCTCTTTAATATCCTATACCAATAATTTTAGGTGAAGAATGAGAACAAATAAGTCAGGTTGTTACTTCAGACTTCTATACATATTATCATCATCACAAAGCACACCTTAAAGTAGGAATTGTCAAATTTCAGCCACTGGACGGTCCATGATTGCCCTCCTGGGGCTCCTGGTCCATCTTTCTGCAATGCAAAATAGAACAGTTCAGGCACCAAACTCATTAATGTCGCAGAAATCAGCTTTCACGATTGGTAATTGCACCGAGGAAAAATGTGAATATCTGATTTCTTTCAGGATCACTGAAGAAGGAAAAGCACCATGGTGTAGAGGAGCACAGCAAGTCAAAAAGAAACATGAGAAAAATATAGATGTCAAACGCAATGCAGCCACATCATTGTCATTGGTGCTAGAATACTACTATGCATTCAGAATTCAAGTTCCTCTCTGATTTTCAAAATCAAGTTAACATGCCTAAATTGTAAAATTAAACCAACAAGAACCAAAGAGAATATTGTTGCCAGCGAAAAGAAAATATCAATGAATGAGAATGACAGAAAGGAGGTGCTTAAATCAACATTGAACAATGAGATTCTCGATCTCATGCTTATTATTTTTAAGCTCTGCAAGTTATTAATCAAAAGCGTTTTCTTTGAAGAACACACCGGTTGAATTAGAGGGAGGGGTAAAACCCGGCAGCAATTATCAGTGAAAGATACGACATCACAGTAAAAAAAGTTTCACGAGGAGATCAATAGAGAGCATAGTCAGTTCCTGCATTTGCTTGCTTGTTTACAAAATCTCAAACAAATCAAGCTAAAATATTAAGAAACAACCATTCTGCAAAACCTAAGTTTGATTAAATTTTTGATGTTGTGCACACCTTAATGCTCATTGCTCAAATGTCATGGAACATATACATAAATGAATTGTTTGGCAGCTTTCTTATATTGTTATTTGATGATAGTTTATTTCAAATTCAGATATTTCTATTTTCTTGTGAAAAGTACTTCTACAATTAATTCTATGTAAAAAATTTTTACTAATCTACTGTAATAAATATAGTTTTCTCAACATAAGAGCATCAATCCAATAGTATGTTTGACATAGTTCATAGATCTACACCTACAGTCACTTGAATTGAAAATATCTTATCAAACTTATGCCAGGAAAACATGTGTTTTGACAACAGAGTTGCATGAATACCTAATTTTTTACCGAACTTGAATTTTACACCTTTATTAGTGTTTAAATATTTTCTAGTGTTAATCTTCACTTTTTAACTCAAATTTCATTTTTAGTAAGTTTTTAACTGAGAAAATTGTAAACCAAAAAAATTGCCATGCTTTTTAGATGTAACTTTGTTTTCATTTGCAATTGAAGAAAAGTACAAAAAAAATGTTTTTCTTTGAATTTTTCCAAAAGTCTAGCCCTTTTTAATATATTTTCCCAGTCTAAAAATACTTGGCTAGCATTTTAATTATTACAACAACATACCCAGTGTAATGGGTCTGGGGAGGGTATGATGTACGCAGACGTTACCCCTAACCTTTGTAGCGTAAAGAGGTTATTTCTAGTAAATGCTCAAAAGATAGCATTTTAATTATTAACACAAGAAAATCAAAAAATTGAGACCAATAAGAGCTTGTCACTTGTACCCAAGGGTGTGGCCTAGTAGCCAATGAAGTGGTTGAGAGTCATGAAGTCTCAGGTTCAAATCACACTAGAAACAAGAAAACACTCAGTGATTTTTTCCATGTGTCCTAGCCTTGATGGAAAAATTTGCATGTCGCTCGTGAGTGATGGCAGATATCCCATAGAATTAGTCGAGTTGCGCGAAAGTTGGTCCGGGCACCACGAGCAACTATGATCATTCAAAAACTCACGAGTTGACAGTTATCCCGTAGAATTAGTCGAGTTGCGCGAAAGTTGGTCCAGGCACCACGATCGTTGAAAAATAAATAAATAAATAAATAAATAAGAGCTTGTCACTTGGAATATTCTTTCCAGTCCAATTCAAATCATATTCCACAGATTTGATTCATATGCCAATCTTTTACCTCCATTTGTTCTTATTCAATACACATGGGTCTTTTCGAAATTATCCACAAAAAGAGGATACATTTAGACCTAAATCTGGACACTATATAAACTAAGGCCTTAATTTTTTTTTCACTCAATGAAGGCTTTAATCTTAAATTATTCGGATCTCAGTTATTAAGAGATTGTTTGGATTAGCTGATTAGCATTTTTAAGTGCTTAAACGAATTTTATAAATAAGCATTTACGTGTTCAGATAGAAGTGCTTAAACTATTAATAATGTGTTCTGTAAAAAGTGCTAATAAGTGGTCTTTAGTTAGAATGACAAAATGTCCTTAAATTTTTACAAGAAATATTTTTCTGTGCAAAAAAGGAGGAATGGTGGATATGGAGTGAAGAGAAAGTTTTGTTTTGAAAAAGATATTTTAAAAAAAAAATTAAAGATAAAATAGTAAAATACTTGGTCAAACCAAAAGTGCTTATAAGTTGAAAAGTCATAAGTTGGTCCCAACTTATGACTTTTGGCTTATAAGCACTTCAATGTTAACCAAACGCATAGATAAGTTAAAAAGAGCTTATAAGGCAGTTTGACCAACTTATAAGATAAGAGGGTGTTTGGCTTAACTTATAAGCTAATCAACTTGGCTTATAAGCACTTTCTAATAATGCAATTGGTAAACACCAAAGTACTGACAAGCCCAAATCAGTCGAAGTCACAAGTTTATCATTCCCGACTAATGATTTTTCAGCTTATAAACACTTTTGGTTTGACCAAGTATTTTACTATTTATCCTTTAATATATCTTCCTAATTCTCAAAATATCTTTCCCAAAACAAAACTCCTAACTTCCTCTTCACTTTGTATATGTCGTTTCTCCTTTTCTTTATAAAGAAACTTTTAAATTTATAATTTTTTGCAAAATTTAAAGAGTTTTTTTAGTCATTCTAACAAAAGAACAACTTATCAACACTTATTTTACCATTTCAACACTTCTATCCAAACACGTAACTACTTATTTACAAAATCAATTTAAGTACTTAAAAATGCTTTTCAACATTTAAGCTAATCAACTAATCTAAACGTGTTCTAAGTCCATTAGTTTTTTAGGTATGAATCTTAATCATTAAGTGTTTTTTCTTTAATACTTTACAACCACTTAATGTGCCTTAAATCTTAATAGGTCTGAATGATTAAGATTTGTAATGAAGTCTTAATATCACTAAAATGTCTATTCAAAAGTTTCTACAAAGATGGCAACTATGTTGCTCAGACTTTCCAAATTGTTGCCATACTCATGTAGGATCCTCCAAAAATGCACTACTTTTGGAAGATTCAACATGCACCTATCGACATTTCAAAGACTCCGAGAAACAAAGGATGGCAGTTCACCAATTCATGCTACAACCATCGCCCACCATTAACAACTACTGTCGTCACCGTCCATCATTATCAACTACCATCACCCTACCACCCACACCATCAAGCATTACAATCAACTATCACCATCATTTACCATCATCACTACCGACCATCATCATCAACTACCACTATCATCCACCATACTCTCAACCACCGCCACTAACTATAACTATCAACCACAACTGTCCACCACTAGGTACTACACACAACACCATCATTAGTCAATATCATCCCCAACTGGCATCCACAACAACCACTACTAGTCATCACCGCTAGCAACTACCATATAATCTTTTAAGAATATTTTGTTGATATAGTGTTAGATTAATTTTCTTTTAGCCCAGGGTCTATTGAAAATAGTTTCTCTACCCCACAAAGGTAGGCGTAAGGTCTACATACATCCTACCCACCTCAGATCCTACTTGTGGGATTACACTAGATATGTACAGTAGCAACAGTATTAGATTAATTTAGTACGAAAAACAAGTTCCAAAAGAAGCATTCCACATTGATTATTTTCTCCCTACCTTCCAACACACCTTAACTTCAACCCCACACAGGTAGACCCCATCCCCACCACCCCTACATCTCATAGTATTTGTCTAAGAATATATACAAATACTTTTAGGATAATATTTTTTGCTTATGATTGAACACAAGAAAATAAGTAAGAAATGCACTTTCTTTCTTGAAAAATATTTCCTTTCATTGCAAACACAACCTTACGGAAAAATTCAAGGGTAAAAATATTTTTGTAAAATTTTTTCTATTGCTAATGAAAACAAAAGTTACATCTTAAAGAGTGATTATTTTGTGATTTGCAAAAAAAAACCTACTCAAAATAAAATAAAAGTTAAAAAGTCAAGATTAACCCTAGAACATATTCAAACGCTAAAAAAGGTGCAAAATTTAGGTTGGGTCAAGAAAATAGGTGTTAACAAGTTGAAACTTGACATTTGGCATAAGAGGAAGCATCCATGTATAATAAAGCATTATAATCACCTCCTATGCACACATATCAACACGGAAAAGCATTCTGACATTTCAAAAAGTGCCCTTTCTATGTTGATGTTTCTCATTAAACCAAGTCTTTATTGACTAACATTTTTGAAATAGTATGTTACCGTTCTCAAAATAAATAAAATGAAATAGATTTCCTTACTTAAAAAGAATGCCTCAAGTCTCAACTTGTTGATAACTAATACAAACATCAGGTTAAAGGACAAATACCGTATATTTTGTTTCTGGCTTGCCCCAACCACTGCGTTCAGGTCTTGATCTCCCCAAAGTGTGAGCCCCAGAAAGTGCAACAATTTCCTGAAAAACCAAAATCTGACTAACATACCACAAGAGAAACATTAAATCACGAAGGAAATGAATTTGTTAGCATATATTACCTTATCATTTAGTCCCATCCTGTAGAAGACATCACGCAAATGAGCAGCAGGGGAAGGGGGACCAGCATCTAGTGTCATCAAAAGTTAGTTAGTTGAAAATACGAAATAAAAGGTACACTGCTCCATATTATAAGATACTATTAATTATTAAAAGCACAAGGGTAAGGCTCGGAAATAGTTAGGGTGAAGACAAGAAGACTCATAATAATGGGTCATCTACTCATACAACAAACTTCAACTGCAGATACGTCTCTCCTCCAACATGAGAGTTGAATACTCAGATTAAAGCATTACGAATGACATGAAAAAGCATCTAAGATCAGAAGAAATAAAACATTCTGGAAAAGAAAGCTGCAAGTCCTACATCAATAACACCAATATCATCTTAACCAAGTACATCACCCAACAACCACAGGCTTGTACGACAACTACACCTGAGGTCGGCATATGAATTCTTATTAACATAATTCCCTCTATGTGGAACCATTTCATCCAACATTCACTAATTTGGGTTTATCTAACACCAGAGATTTTCTACATTTTCTACTAACATACAAATCTCTTGACAAAAAAAAGGCTCCTGCAAGTACCAACTCTAGGCCTAATGTAAGCACTAAGCATAGCATCTTGATTAAGATTTAATTCCAACTAGTCAGTGTTGCCTGTATGGATCTTTTGCTTCTATTCATCCAGATTTTACTAAATTTGCATTAATTCCAAGATATTGACAGCCTTCTGTAACAACTCTCTTTCATGTTATGTTAGGTCTATTTTGTCCATTTTTATACCTTCGATTATCATGGTTCACACCTATAAACCGGTGCATTTGAAGGTTTACATAGCACATGATCAAACTATTTAAATAACCTTCTCTCATTTTATTTGGTGTGGCTGTGCCACTAGAATGTGATCCTTTGTGATTTTGTCTAATTTGGTCCAAAACACATCTATCTGAGAAGTCCTATTTTGCAACACTCATCTTGTGGATATGTTGAACTTAGAGGCCTAACTGCCGCTCCAATATAACATTTGTTGATCTTCTAATTATACCAATCCTCTGTCCCATTGTATATGGCACGTTTTCTTCTATATTTTGTCCAAAAAAGAATGATACACTTGTATATTTAGAAAAAGATTTAACTTTAAATTTCTCATTTTACCTTAACAACATGATTATATAGTCATTAATGTCTTTGACATATTTTAGACCACAAATTTCAAAAGTACTTTTATTTCTAAATCTTATGCCCAATCAAATTCCGCCACATAAATTAGAATAGAGGGAGAATAACACTTTTCATTCACTTCGGTAGGTATCATCTGATCTTATCACTCCTACATTTCAACCACCTAATTTTATTATTGTGTATTATATCTTTATCTGTCATACCACTCTACTTTACATACATTATACTTATAGATATCTAATTTTTGGAATTTAGACACCAAAGTACCTTCTAATCTCACCTCAACTTCGCTCACTCTTATGCTGGCTAAACGTGCAGTGCATACACCCTGTCTTCTACTTATCCTTAAAGTGTTATTCTCTTAAGTGTTTCTCCATAGTGCAATCTTTCGGTTGACACCCTCACTAGTTAAGTCAATTAACACAATATTTTAGACCAAGAAATCTCATAGTGGATGCCGTCCATAATTAGGGTAAACAAGTACGATATCAATTTAGATCACTAGTATAAAATCCATGATAATGAGAAACTCCTCTAAATCTTCCCCCATACTCATTACTCTCATACTTGTAACTGCTCCTTCGTAGATATCCTTTTATGGTATTTATCTTGATATGACTTCTTTTCTTCTCCAATACACCCAGACTTGTGTCAAGATATATATATATATATATATATATATATATCACGTACGTAAAGATGCACGGTAGCAAACTAAATTCTATAAGTCCTCAGTTGTTACTATATTATGCAAAACCCAATCAGAAAAGATTTGAAAAAATCTAAAGGTTCCTGTCGCACGATGTGGAACTATTGCAACTATGAATTTGATGATTGAATATATATAGTAATTTAAGTTATTTCTCTATCATAGTGTGTGTTTTGTGAAGTGATATGTTTGAAGCTTCAGAAATTATTGTGTTTTGTGAAGTGACTATGTTTGCAGCCTTCAGAAATTAAGTGTGAGTAGTAAGGATCATAAATCTACCTGTGTCTTCTTAGATATTACAGCTACGCTATTTGAACATTATGGTTCTTGTTTTTCTTTGGGGAATAAGGTAAACATTATGCTTGAAGTTAATTTGATCATTGTAGCTGAATTTCTCTACAGAAACCTTAATAAGTCTCTCAAATTCCCCTTGCATCTCTAAGGTAATATGGTCACAATAGACCTAGATGATAACCCTCTTCGTCCTCTTTGATTCCTATATAAACACACACACCATCTCTTTTGTATCTCTAGGTACCTGATGAAGATTAAAAGTGTTAGTAGAAACAGACTATCATTTTATAACTAGAATCTCCGAGGGGCAGTGGAGCAAGGTTCAAAACTAGGTGGATAATGAGCCCTCCCCTCTCCCTTCTCCACTTAACTACCAAGCTTTTGTCTACAGTAAGGTTCGAACCTGTGATGTGCGCTTAACCTACCATCACACACTGCACCCTTGGCATTCAAAAATGACAGTATAGTTCCAAAGAACTATGCCCTTTTTTATAATCAAGATCAAAGTTCAAATGGGTGTAAAATAGCAAATCTCACCAGGAAGCCTTCCTTCTTCTGGGCATTGCTCAGGTACGGACACATCCATCCTCCCATATTTCATGGGAATTTTGGGGCCCCCAGCCTCCTATTGTTTTGAAATAAACCAATTAATGTGTGAGCTAATTTTATTGTCAATACTAAATAAGAAAAGAAACTAATTACCTCAATGGCGGTTGCACTGGCCAGCTGGAATAAATCTGCATAAGTCACAGCAGAATACTTGTCCTTGATAGGCTGGAGAAGTTTCAGTGCATTTACAAGTCCTGAGTTGCTAGCTTGTTAGACTAACAAGAAAAGAAAGTCAACAGAATTTGTAACAATGGAGTGAGGACTTACCAGCATTGGCTCCATGTTTCAGTTCAACTTCGAATCTTAAGCTTCCATTAGCTCCACCTCTTTGTGGCCACTCCTCAATATTCTTGTTGTAAGTACCAGCATCGTGCCAGCCCAAACGAACCTGGAACCATTTAGAAGTGTTAAACTGTGTTCTAGATTTCTCCCCAGAGGCATTGGTAAGCATAGTTAAACAAACTTGAAATGAATTCCTTTATTTAGCCAAACGCATCACAATGAATAGCTAATATCATAATAGTTGGAGTGAGTCATACACAGAGAGATCGACAGGTATTGAGGGACCCTCAGCTGCTCAAAAGAACAGAAACAGAAAAAGAGAGTCGAGAAAAACGACCATGTATTAAAACATGATACACAAGTTACAGAGAGACCACAATCATATTACTAAATGAGTACAACACAAAACCTACAAGTTGTGCCAAAATTTATAGTTCACTGACCAAACAACTCGTGTTATCATTGTGCTGACATAAAAGAGGAAATTCAGTATACAATCATCTCTATGCAAACCAAACAACTGAAAGGAGACCTGTAAAGCATTTCTTTGTCCTGTCTTTCCCTAGTACAATCTCAAAGGACTGACAGGTAGTATATAATGGCAAAGCTTCATTTGGTCGAAGCACTCATCCAAGCTTCGTAGTATCTACAAGGATATTCAGTTTCATATTCCAAAGGGCAATTTTTAGAACTATTATTAGGTTGGTCTTAACCTGCTACAATGTAGCTGATGTAACTTTGTTCACTCTCTTATTCATTCCACTCGCTCATCTTTAGTAGTTAGGGAGATAACATCAGGAAATAAGATAAGTACCATTGATTTGAGCAGAAGACATATCACTTCAGCTCAATCAATGCCAAAAGTTGGCTGGTGCCTCATCGAGAGGTTAGAAGCATTTGCACGGAGCTTTCATTTTCTGATTCGGAGTCTGTGTCTCATGTTTTCTCTTGAAAATTTTATTCTTCTCTAGGTATTGCCATTAAAACAAACTGATGTCGATGAAAATTGGCAAGTTCATTAGTTTACACTTTGCAGGTGATGTATTCAAGTTCAATCATTCACAGGTTTATACATATTATAAACAGTTCTGGTCAAATACCAAAATAGATCAGAAATATACCAAAATAGGATGACAAAACTTAGTGTTCAGTAGCTCTTTGATGTCCTCTCTCGCACTTTTCAACTGATCGGGATCAGAGGCAGCTGATTTAGCCGATGCTACAGTACTGAAACTTCCACTAGATACTCGAACCAATGATTGCTTCTACAAAAACAACAATCGGGAGAACAACATCAATAAAATGCTAAAATAGAATTCAAAATGCGCAACGAAAAGCGAAGGAAGCACTGAACAACCTGGTAACGAAACACATGGGATAAAAGAGGAGATGATTTGGGGCACTTTAGAGGAGAAACAGAAGATGATGAAAAATAGAATCTGGCAGTAGTTCTGGAGACGGTAAATCTGGCGGCCGGGAGGAGACGAGAGGCGGCGCCGGTGAGAGAAGCCATTGAAGAAAGTTTGCTGGTGAAGTGAGAAAAAAATAAATGAAAGAGCCGATGGGTGCGTTTTCTTTTATTTTGGGTAGTGTGGCATCTATTGGACCAGCCGTCGGGTTCCAACCTTCAATAAATTCGATTTTGCTACCAACCCACTAACTAGAGAATGTTGAAATGACACTCCCGCCCATGCAAAATTTTAAAGATATACTTACTGTATATGATTTATTTGATACGTATAATACGAACAGGAGTGTAATTAGATTAAATTTGGACGGTTCATAATGGATCAAGATAATAAATGCGTCAAGATTTAATTCAATTTAAATGTACTTAGGTTAAAATGGATTGGATTAAAATTTAGGTAATGTGTTTACAACGGGTCGAGATTGATCCAATCCATTTTTTATTAAATTTAATTATTTTATTTGTTCTTTTAAAATATTTTAGTACCTAATATAATTATTATTTTCTTTATTATGACTATATATAACATATCAAATTTTAAAAAGTTTTTAAAAAAATATTTTGATAAGATTTCTCATAAATCAAATTTGAATTACGTATTAACTCAATTTTTAATGGGTTGAAATAGATTGAATCGAAATGGTTTGAGATAATAAATAGACAGGTCAATAACTTGCCCAGATATGAACGTAGTGGACAAGTTAGACAACTTAAATTTGATTTTACTTCCCCTAATTATGAATACATAAATAAACCGACTCCACGAGTAGCTCAAGAGTAGGACAAGTGTAAGCTTCCAAGATACAAGTACAATTTCAAAAATAAAAAAAAGTTCATATTAAATTGAATAGTATATTTATCTTTTAATTAATCTAATTTTCTTCTTTTATGTATAGTTTTTAATTAATTTTAATTTCTCATCTTTTTAAATTAAGTTATTTGATCCTCGGTATAAGTGTCACAAAGTTCAAAATTACTCGATGGATAGTTGCCTAAGATAATGATACTCGCTGACAAAATATATTTAAAAATATGTACACCATTCTGTATAAAAATGTATATTTTATGTATATTATATATTAATATATGACAAGTATATATTCACTAACTATTATTTTAATTGACTATTATTTATTTGAAATTTCTCTAGTTTATATAGGGGAGAGTATGATATCATGACGTGCGTCTAACTCACACATCATGTGTTGCACTCTTACCTTTAAATCAAAGTTATGTAGGCTTTTGTTATGAATTTATGCAAAAAAAACTTAAATTTTGTAATATATTTGACTTTAGGTCATCAAATTTATTAGACATTGATACTAAATGCATGTCTTGGCATCTTTAGAAGAGAAATAAATATCGAGTAGGATGGGTGATAACTGATAAGTTTTGTCTTTGATACTTCCTACTGTCTCTTCATGTTTTCTCTAGCACTACTTCAAAATAACATACTTGTAGAACGAAGTTTTATTTCCAAAGAATTAAGTCCGTATATATCCGTTATATTGGTGAACAATTTTTGGGTTTATAGTGTATTCAATTTCATTTTATTATCTACTTATCAATAACCTAAAATAAAATGGAATAAATTTATTTTGCAACACATTCACATTTTATTTCTATCAATTTATATATTTTTAAAGAATGATTTTGTGCACGAACCGTCTTATATTCATGCAAAATTCGAAAAAAGAGTCTCAGAAAGGGTGTAAGGTAGGCAGAGACGTCTGGTGGGGGAAGCAACGTCCCTCAAAATTATAGCCCCCAAAATTTATTTATTTTTATAATATTTATGATATACTCCGTAAAATTGTTAATAAAAACTACTATTATTTTTATATTTCGTTTTCAAAAAATGTGATAGAGGTATGGAAATTAAGTTAAGTGTTTTGACATAATTTTATATTTTATAAGTATTAAATTAATTGTTTTGAATTTTATAATAAACATGCAATGTATGGAAATGAATAATTCAATAATTTTCTCAAAAAAGGAAAAGGAAATTATAACTCGATGATGACTTTGATATTTTTAAAAATGAAGTCTATTGTAGCATCTTTTCGAGTAGATTGTTTCTTTAAAATAGTGGATTTAAGTCATTTTCACTTCAAAATAAGCTTAACTTATTCTGAATTTATGAAATTATTTTGAGATCTACTTAGTTATGAGATTCTTAAATTATGTGAATTTATAAAAGTCATCTTAATGGTTATTATATATTTTTATAAAATATTGTAGTGTGACCCAGTATCTCCAACAGTGGAAGCTAGTAGTGATAAATTGAGTGTTGTAGGGTAATGCAAGTACTAATAGTTGATTTCACAATCCGAACTCGTAATTTATAGGTCACGTTAAGATAATTTTACCGTTATATATATATACATTTTTCAATTACAAAAAAAAAGTTATATTTACTAAATACCAACTACATAGTAACAAACATGTACTCTTTACATAATTTTTTTAAAAAAAATAAAAAATGCTAATAGTCCATTAACTTGTAATATTGCATGTTCTTCATCCACCTTGGGCCTTGGCAAATTAAAGTTGGATTAATTACTTGAATAAGTCCCTTTTAATTAATAATTACTATTTTTAAACATACTTTTTAATTATTACCATTTATAGCAATATAAAATAATATTATGTATACTTATTTTATTAGATCTATTATTTTCTCTTGCGCTCTTTCTCCGTTTTTTTTCTATCTCTCGTCATTTTTTTCTTTTCCTCCCTGGCCCTGCAGCCTCTCTACACCCCCTCTCTCTATGCTTTTTTTTCTTTCTTTTTCTCCCTGTACCTCCTCTATCTATGATTTTTCAATATTATAAAAAAAAAGGTTAGGCTTTTATCAAAGGCAAAAGAATTATAGAAAAGTTAGGGAAATTTTCAGAAATCGAAGAATTGGGGTTGCTTAATTTATAGAAGAAGTCGATTAGTTTTTTATTTGTTGCTTTGGCGTTGTCGACGATTTTCATTCTAATGAAGGTTATATAAATAATTGTATTCATACCTGATGAAAATTTGAAGATTTGAATATTTGTATATATGAAGATTTGAAGATATGAATATTTGAATATATGAAGATATCAATGTTTGAAGATATGAAAGTTTGAATAAATGAAGATATGATGTCATATTTGTGCCCCAATATACTTCCTCATATCTAAAGGTGAATTCGCATGAGAAAGTTAGATTTGAAGATATGATGTCATCTTTGTAACAAATAAAGAGACATAATAAACTGCAAAATGAATTAAACTTGAATTAAATATGTATTATACACATATTAAAGTTGAATTAAAAGAGAATTAAACATGAATACAAAATGTAGCAAACGAAAGAACATTCTATGATCAGTAAACTGAATAAAATTTGTATCAATAATGAATTAAACAAGTAATCCAATCGTAACAAATCAACCAATAAACTGCAAAATGAATTAAACTTGTATTAAAAGTGTATTACACAAATATTAAAGTTGAATTAGAAGAGAAAATTAAACATGAATAAAAGACGTAACTAATGAAGACCAGACATTGATCTATAGAGTGAATTAAACTTGTATCAATAATGAATTAAACAAGTAATTCAATAGTAACAAATCAATCAATAAACTGCAAAATGAATTAAATTTGTATTAAAAATGTATTACACAATAGTAAAGTTGAATTAGAAGAGAGAATTAAGAATTAATGAAAAACGTTACTAACGAAAGACGAGAGAATTATCTATAGATTGAATTCAACTTGTATTATTCATGAATAAAGCATGTATTATATGTGTCTTATAAATTATTCTGATTGTATCACTAAGAACATGAATGATGTTTGTAATATGAATTATAAATGTATTATAAGTATGCTACCTAAATTATTTGGTTGGTATCAATAAGAAGAGAGTGAAGTTTGCAAATTATAAATGTATTGTTCACGATAAAACTTATATTATATGTGTCTTGTAAATTATTTTGATTTGTGTCACTAAAAAAATGAGTAATGGTTGCAATATGTATTAAAAATGTATTGTGCATGTCTTAAAAATGTATTATTAATGTGTTACCTAAATTATTGTTGTTGGTATCACTAAGAAAGGAGTGAAGTGTGCAATATGTATTAAAAATGTATAATTCATGAATAAAACATGTATTACATGTGTCTTATAAATTATTTTGATTTACTAAGAAAAAGAGCGTAGTTTGCAATATGTATTACAAATGTATTGTGTCTATATTGTAATGTATTACAACTGTGTTACCTAAATTATTTTAGTTGATATCACTATAAAGGAAGTGAAATTTGCAATATGTATTATAAATGTATTATTCATGATTTAATTCAATTTTAATACAGTTATGAAACATATATAATACAACTTTAATACAATTGAGATACAGTTCCGTAAACTTCATATTTTTCGAGCTTCAATCTAATATTTCTCCTAAAATCAATTCTAAAATTGAGAAATAAACTCCAAATGATATTTTTAATTGTTTGTAGGAACAACCTATTTAAACTAATCACAAATTCATAAAAAATAAATAATGAATTCAAAATTTGAAGTTTTGTAATGACCATCAATGGTGAACTCTTAATGATGTGATTTTAGAGATTTGAAATTCCTGCTTGAGCACATGATTCTTATCGTATTTTTGGGTGAAATTGCGCTATATGGGCAAAAACTAATTTGAAGATATTTCTTTAAATGAAAATTTCAAAGAAAAAGAAGAAGAGAAGGAAGAGAAAAAATGGAAGAGAAAGAGGGAAAGAAGCGAGATAGAGAGACTTTCACTATACAATTTTTTAATTCCAAATAATTGCTATATCAAGTTAGAAATATTATATTGCCATAGATGATAAATATTTTTTTGTTATTGCATATTTATGTGATTTACCCATTAAAGTTTCTATAGCCCATAGGAAAGCTTAATTTGCTACTCTTTGAGAAATAGCCAAAGATGTAGCTTTGGAAATGTTAAACAAGTAGCCTTTGCTCATAATTCACCAACTCCTTGGCTTTTGACTACTTGGAGAATAGGTCCAAAAGTATGATCCCTTTTTCATCAAATGACATCGGTCATGTATGC